AGTGAAAAGGGGCACGCAATTGGCGTCAACTGTCGGCACCGGCGATTGGATCGGTCGAAGGCTGTGCGGCTGACGGTGCCAGTGCTTGCTAGTGCCCTCACACTGCTCACATCAGTGCTGGGCACAGTGAATCAATTCGCCGAAATGCGTTTTTCGTGTTTGTTTACGCGAGGACGAATAGGACGCAACGGGCCAGACAGGACAGAACAGAACAGGACAGGAGGACACCAATCGAGCTCCACTGCTCCACGGCACACGACGCGCGTTTGGGTGAACAGGACGCGATGCTTTCCGCACTTTCGGAATTGGGTGCTCGAGTGCTGCTGGCCCACACCAGTCACTTAGTAGAGAGGAGGAAATAATGGCACTGCAACACTGAAGAAGCAGAAGATGCACTCTGCACTGATGCTGATGCTGCTGATGGTCACTGGGCACTGCTGATGCGCTGAGGTAGCGAAACTTCAATAAGACTGCTGCAGTTGAAAGGCATCACGAGCACTGGCCCAAACATACCGCATCAGAAGAAGACTTTGAGGAGAAGCAAATTCAGCAGCTGAGCGATCAACTTTGACCGTCCTTGCATTGGCACGTCTTCCAATCGACTGATCGCCTTCTCTGCCGATGTCGCCCATTTTATTGTATCAATTTGGTCATCTATCTCTGTTAGCTGTTTCCACATTGCAAATAGCGAAGGTAAATCCAATATTTACCTGTTCGAGCGACTCACTAGACAAACAGCCAGAGACACTCTGCTTTCTATTTAAATTGGTGTTTAGCAGCAGCAGCAGCAGCAGCAGTAGAAACCATTTGAACTGGCCTATTGGCTCAATTAAGTCAACAACAACTGAAGATCTTCTGCTGCTGTAATGTCAATGAACAAAACGGAGGACTGAGTTAATAAAACAATAAAACAAAGCCCAATTGCGGCCAAATAGGGTGTTTGGTGTTGTGAATAAATATTTAAACTTGAGTCGACTGTCTTGTCGTTCGAAGTGTATCTCATCTAAACATACACTGAAATTATAGGATTTACAGTGGATTTTGGTGCCATGTGCTGCTGCGGTTTCTGCTGCTGGTGAGTGCATGTGTGCACAGTCTCTCTCGCCGCCACTAAAGAAACGTCTGAGCTGTTTACCAGGAGTTGCTGTTGCTCAAACATTTACCCAAAGTTTGAATTAAATCAAATTAAAAGGGGCTTACCGTCTACTGAACGGTTCCGCACACACACCAGTTTCGGTGTAGAGCGCAACCAGAGAACACCAACAGCAGCGCCTGCTGCTAAAGCGACAATTACAGATCAAATATTTAAATTCGAAAGCCTACATGGGAAGCATAATCGGTTGACTTTGTGCGCCGGAATCAATCAATTGACATTGTACACTGTGCCGGGCCGCCAGCGACGACGATGTAGCAATTTGCTGCGGAATTCGGTCGATCTAGCAAGGGAAGCAGACAGTGGTGGCGGCGGTTCTTGCCTGGACCAGTCTGGTGACCAAGGTCACCGATAAGGCGCTTTGTACCAGCAGCTTTGCCTTCCATATCGTGGCTTTTACTCTCTCACCGACGCTGACTCGAGAAGCGCAAACACGCTTGTTATCGCCACATATTTGCACTATTGGGCGAGCAGATTACGATCAACTGTGCTGCTGATTTTGCTGCTGCTGCTGCTGCTGCCAGGACCAAGGGATCTGCAAACAAAGTTGTCGGCCAAAGGACGTTTTGCACGTTAGGAGCGACCGCTTCCTAGCTGATAACGATTGCCAAAAAAAGTTGCTGTACTGAACTCAAGCACATCATTCGTTTGGTGCCGAGCATGTGACTGACTTTTGACCTGCCAGAGCTGCTCATATCAATTCACTGGCTGAGCAAAGGTTAACCACCCAGTGGAATGTCCATTGGGTAAACAGCAAAGCAAAATAAGAGCACTACCAGTTCTGTGCAGTTTGGCAGCAACTGTACCCTGAAACAGTTTAGGGTGAAGTTAAGATAGAAGTGCTGGTCGGCAATCTGCCTGAGTATCGGTGCAAGCACCTTCGGCTCCAGTGATTACCAGCGACTCTATATCGGCTTCAGGGCAATTGCTCGTTAGTAGTGCAACTTGACTAATTGAACTAGTAGTCACGTTGCGTCTGAGAAGTGGCTGATTATTTTGCCGTAGACAGTCTGTTTTACAAAACTGTTTTTCAGAAGTCCAAGATGATATTTGGCGCGTCGGTGAAAAAGAAAAGGAAAAGGACAAGACCTCCCGCAGACGAGCTTCTTTTGTGTTGCTAAATTTGGCGAAGAGAGCAAAGGGAGCCGACAGAGCTGCCAATCGACTTATTAGAGGTCAATTTGCCAATAGGCCTGTTTCAGTTTCTTCAATGCTATCTTCTGGGCGATGTCTTCAGTCACTCAGTTGCCCAGTGGTCATCAGCTTTGGTGAGCCATACTCAAAGTTTCTCTTTCTTGTAAGCTTGTAGGCTTTATCTCACCTGTCCTCACCTTAATAAAAACAAGTTTCGGCACCGACACCGTTTTATTGTTTCAACTAATGGAGAGAGACACTAAAAAGTTAATTCTGCCTTTGCCAGTGCCGACGGTGTATTCTACTAGCAGCAAAACTGAGCTCCCCGTCGGGCAAAACTTTATTGCACTTTCTTCTCACAACTTTGTCTCCTCTTCGATTCCGCACTATTCTCCTGCCAGTTTCGATTTTGCCGTCAGTACTGTTCTACCTTTCAGTCAAAAGTTGACGCACAAAGTGCCGACCAACTTTGATCGCAGATGTTCTACTTTGATTGCCCTCCTCAGATATTGCCATCGCTTTTAATTTTTATGAATGGTCTAAGTGAGAAACAACCAGTGTGTTGCAGCCGTAAATCGCTTACACGCGGCACACGACTAAACATCAACACTAGAAGATAGTGATACTAATTAGCAAGCCGACTAAATGAGCGCTGCACTGATGCAGCACCAATATTTACAATGCACCGGCATTAATCTGTATTTATTATCACAAAGCACACACAGCATAAAGCAAGATTTTAATTATACAAACAAAAACACACTGACAACTGTGCTCTACTGACAACCTTTGTCTACAGAAAAATCGAGTGTGTGTGTGTGTGTAAAGAAGGATCAGAGAGGCAGTTATCGAAGAGTGGAAATGGAAGTGTCCGGCGTACAGGAAGACGCGTCCGTCAGCAGTTGATTTGAAGGAGTCAACACTTACTAAAACAGCTCATATATTGTCGATTAGAAAGGTATCCCAGGCGATGGTGTGCGCCACACTGGTAGGCAATAGTTTGCCCATCTTGTAGAAATGCTGTTTGATGCTGTAATAGTCTAACACTCAGGCGACTGCAATCAGCAGCAGTGCCAGTGAACGACAAACGCTTACTCGACCTCGCCGACAGGCCATTGCATTTTGGCGAAACCATTGCAAGCCTCTTTGCCTCCTGATGACTAGTACACTGCTTCAACCCTGACGACTATCAGTCTTCCTATTATTTAATTAGTTTTCCAGAGAACGGCTACAAATCACTCCAGTCCAATTAGTTGCCAGTGGCCGAGTGTATGTGCCTGGGCTCGATGAGTCTGTGGGCACAAAACCAGCGATTTAATGAAAAGTAATGGGCGGCTGATAGAGGGCAGCCACGAGCCTGGTCATTTAATTACCGAGCATATATGCAAATGTCAACAGTGTCGTTGGCTGAGGTGACAATCAGAAACACGGCAACCACTGGCGCCATTCGTCTCAGAAGAGAGAGAGGGAGATTGTCACTACTCTAGCCTGCTTTAGAACTAAGCAGCTAAATATATTCTGTTAATAATTTTCACGCTAAAATCTCCTGAATTCTAGTAAGTTTGCCAATCAGCCTAACGTTAATGCAGCGTCGCATTTACTGCAATCTAAAGCTCGAAGCTTTGACGTGCACACTGTACAGTGCGAACAGCCTGGTTAGCTTTCATGAAAATGGAGCTCCTCACTAATTATCCAATGTGACTTTTGCCGCAAAACCTGAAGAGTCACAGTGTGCATGGAGCTGGTGAGAGGGAGAATGGGAGAGAGAGAGAGAGAGAGAGAGAGAGAGAGAGAGAGAAGGAGAGAAAGCAGTTGTCGTCGCCGAGCAGTGGCAGATTGAGCTACATCAAACACAAGCAACAGCTATCTATTGAGGCGGTTCGGCAGTGCTCCGCCAGCCAATGGCGGCCGATGGAGGGCCACCGAAGACCGCCTTCGCCTGCTGGCCTGGCCTGGCCAGAGTTGCCGTTTTTGCCTGTCTGCATGCTACGCCGCCAAGCCTCGGCTATTGGTCGTCCTGGAAGAGTGCCGCCGGAGAGTGCCTGCCTAGTCCGTCTTTGCCCGTCTTCACCACTGGTCGCACATGCCCCAGTAAGTTATATAAATATAAAAGCAAACAAAGCCTCAAGAGAAGTGTGTTCCTACTCGCTCACTCACGCCGTACGTCTGCGAAGCTGCTGGACCGACGAGCGACTGCTCTCTGCCTCTCTGCCACCATTTGTTTAGTGTTCATCACGATAGCAATTCTGTGCTTGTGCAGCCTCAACCTCACTGCCTCAGCCTCTTCGAGACTCTGTTTGCCTTCACGGTTCGACTGCGACTGAGGAATCCGCTCCGCCGAGCTCGATGTGAACAACGGACCGGCGCTCTCCTTGGCGCTATTTTTGCTTTCCGCTCATAGCTGGTGAATGTTTACAAATTTGCCTCAAGTGTCTCAAGCATTAAAGCAAACCAAACAGATCATCTTAAATTAAGTATCTCAACACACGAGCCAGATGATCAACACTCGAGCACACATCTTCATTACCGACCAGCTCTGAAGCCTGTAATACCCAAACAGTGTCCTCACTTCGATTAGCCCCACTCAACTGTACCTACTTGCGCCACCTAACCGCTTGACCACCATCACCCATCACCCCCATCGGTGTTAATTGACACCACTGAACACTCCCCTGTGTCACCCCCACCACAACCCCCACCACCTTTCGCAACCATGTTGACCCAGAAACCGTACCAGGAGAGTTCCAACTGCATGATCAGTTCGGCAAACTACTCCAACATGAGCTCATCCATGAGCCAGTCACTCTCTTACAGCATGTCGGGCATCAACATACCCAACTACATGTCAAACGCCTCTTCAGCCAGTCAGGTCTTTGTGCCAAATATGATCTCAAACGCAAGTAATGTGCCTTTGGGCGGCACCTCCTGCATCAACAGCGCCTCCAGTCTGACCAATGCAAACAATGCTAACCTTTCGTCGACCCCCAGTTCAGTGGCCAGTGACAGCCAAGCAAATGGCGGCGCTGCACCCAACTCTGAGGGTCCCTGCCTCTCGCCGGCGATGGCCAACAGCAACACGCCTCTTTCCCCGATGCCCACCGGCAGTGCCACCGCCAGCACCGGTCTCAGTGGCATGAACTCGCCCACAATGGGGCACTCCTCGGGCCTGAACGGCGGCCTTCTGCCCAGTCGCAGTGAGTACGCCTCTCCTGGAGGGGCAGACACCAGCACCAGTGCCCTGCTGCAACGGGCTCGAGCCGACAAGACCTACCGGCGGAACTACACGCACGCCAAGCCGCCGTACTCCTACATCTCACTGATCACTATGGCCATTCAGCACTGTCCCAGCAAAATGCTCACCCTCAGTGAAATCTACCAGTTCATCATGGACCTCTTTCCTTACTACCGACAGAACCAACAGCGATGGCAAAACTCTATTCGCCACTCGCTCAGTTTCAACGACTGCTTCCTTAAAGTACCACGAACGCCCGACAAGCCCGGCAAGGGCAGCTTCTGGACGCTGCACCCTGACTCGGGTAACATGTTCGAAAATGGTTGCTACCTTCGACGACAAAAGCGATTCAAAGTGGACCGCATGGAGCGAAATAGTGGAGTTCAGAAGAGCGTCCAGAAGAGCGGCAGCACCACCTCGGTGAGCAGCAATGGCTCCATCAGCTCGAGCAAGTCTTCAATGGACAATGGTCAAACCAACCTGAACAATGCCAACAACGGCAACAGCCACCTGAACCCTGGTTCAATGAACGGCCTTTCAATGAACAGCTCTCCCTATGGGTCTCATCAGATTGACCAGCGCCACCTGAACGGTCTCAGCTCACTAGAGGAGTGCAAGCTGGAGCAGAGCAGTCACCACCACCACCACCACCAGCACCCGCAGCACCACCCTCAGCAGCACAGCCACCACCACCAGGCACACATCGACCACATGAACAACCTCTACAACACGTCCCGCGGCGGACTGACCGACCCGAGCGTCCTTCACCAGAGCATGTTCTTCTCCAATCAGCTGAAGGAGCCCCACTACCTGAACTCGCGCGAGCACCCCTTCAGCATTCAGAGTATCATCGCGGGCGAGGCGGCCAAGGGCGCCGACATGAAGCTGTACCAGGACATGCAGTGCAACCCCTACAGTCCTCTCTCGCCCATGACCTCTGTGCACGCTTCCGGCATGGCCAACGACTCCTCTGCCTACTACCATCCGCCGCCGCCGCTCTACCACTCCTCTTAGTGCTCAACACCACCAAGTGTCAAGTGTGAAGCTTAGTGACTCTCATCATCAACATTGGCCTCATTCACCCACTGTCTCACTACTCACTGAACAGGGTCCTGCGATCCTGGCGCGATACTTCCATATCGAGAAACAAATGCCTTAGATGGCTGTCAATTGAAGTTACTTTTGGAGGAATGCTGCTTAGAAAATTCAGTCCACTGAAAACTGGGCAGCACTGAGCCGTACACCATTTCATATCGCCGAGCAGTGTGTGCATCATCGCAGCTGACACTGTACATAGTCATTGCGCTACATCTCGCCTTAACACGACCACAGCTATTAGCCTATGAATAGCTTTCTCTAGACCACTTGTTCATCCTTCTTCTTGCATTTACATTTGCCCGTAGCAGTCTGTGCTCGGTGGCCTCCAGGTCACACTGGTCACACCTCTTTGCTTCAGCCCAGTGTTTGTATTTATCTCTTTGTATTTTCTCGTTCTCTCTTTTTCTCTGTCTCACTTTCTTTCTTTCACTATTTCTCACTCACTCTCTCCACTGCACACTGAGATCACCCAATCCGGTTGTTTTCATTGATTCTCTCTCTCTCTCTCTTTAAATAAAACCTGTACATACTTTGCAAATCGGCTATTGTTTGCAACTGCCTCAGCCCAATAATAAAACAATTAACTAAGTAATCGACTTCCTACTGCTTAAGACTAGTGCCAGTGTGTCCAATCGAAATGTGTTAGTCTGTCAGTTGGGCCGCAGCCTCAACCTGTGACGACAGTGGCATGGTTTGTAATTATCGCTAATGTGACATTTTGCTGTGCACTCCCTTCACACACACTCACCCAATCGATTGTGCCTCATTAGCATTAATTACAAATGCCTCTTCCACACCGTTGACTGTCTGCGCGACAGTAGCCCCTGTACAGCAACAAATGCTGAAGATGTGTCGCCCAGTGTATGGCAACGACTGTAGTGGCAAGACACAATCGATCAGTTGATTGTGAAGTCTCACTCGTACATTTGTTTCATATTCCCTTTGCAAAAAGCATGTTGTTAAAAGGGAATTTAATTTTGCCTGTTTTTTCAAGTTGACATTGCGCGCTGTCGATCGAATAGCTTGTTATGCTAGTAGTGCTTGCGCTGAAAGGCACAGTCTGCAGCAAATGGCAATTTCACAAAACGTAATCAGATGATTGATATGTTTGTGTTAGTGTCAGTGTGTGTTCCCCTCCAACTTCTCAGTGGCTCGCATGCCAAATAATTAATTGGAAATGACTGCATTGAAAAAAGAATGGAGCCAATCATGTCGAGCAATGAGATAACAGTGCCTTTGCAGTGCGGATAGACGCTGACAAGAGCCCGTCACTATGGCAATGCTCGTCGCACTGTGGACAAGGCCGAGGAAGTACTCAAGAGCTCAATACTGAGAGAGATAGAGAGCAAACAGAAGGCTCGGACCTAACGCCAACTGGCAATTAGGAGGAAATGTCAAGCAGCAGTCGACCACAATGGCCATCAAGATCACTTGCACCGATGGAAAGGCAGACCGAGACACTTGCACATCTCGTGGCTGCCATTAGTCCGCTCCTATCACCGCCATTTACCTGCGCCCTCTTCCACAACAGCACTTTGACCTCTACCATTTTTGGTGTTTGCATATGAACCACACACACACACACACACACTCTCTAGTCAGCAAACTCTGCACCGATTAAAGTATCACCCAGTTCCCGGGTTACCGCAGTACCTTATCGGGCACAAGAACATTGAGAGAGAGAGAGAGAGAGAGCAATAATTACAACGCGCGTTACCGAACCTCCTCACCTCAGCTCGTTAGCTGGTAGCGCGCGCGGCCAGGTAGAGCGACACGTGTCGAATGGTACAGTAGCGTGGCTAAGACGAGTACACGGACCATTAGATTAGCGGCAGTAGCAATAAAAGAGACAAAAAATCGACCCTGGGAGCCGCAGACGAGGCACACAAACATTATGAGTGCTTGTTTCCAAGAGTGACCAGACTTTTCTCCCACCAAAAGACAGACAACTGTTTGCCTAATGAAGTGCACTTATGCGCAAAGAAGAATGAAGAATGGAGACAGCCACTTGACCAGTTGTCACAACGGGGACACTTGGATAGCTCATTTGAATGTTTCTTATTGTAAATGCTAAACTCCCCTCTTTGATGACTGCGTCATGTTTTCCACTATCAGCCAATATATTTCCTTTTTTCCTCCGTTTGACCTTTGAACTCGATTTGTCTAAGCAGTCATGAGTATGACTAAGCACAGTAATCACTACTATTTTAGCAATCAGCCCAAAGTTATCATTTGGTGCAGCGCGTAGTTCAGTGGCCGCTGTGGTGCAATTTAAAATCACAATCACTCAATTAGCAGCTTGTAAGTGGGGACATAAAGCGCGCAACAGTTGACGGCTTAAATGTGGTGATTAGTGCGTGAGGCTGGCAGGGTGGAGAGGAGTCTGCCTTAGTCACTCGTTGAGATAGTTTGCCGTAATTGGGCGAGCAATTAAAAGAACACCGAGCACACTGGAGGCGGGCTGATCCTTCCACGCGAGGAACTGAGTGAAGAAGGAGAGCACTGCTGAGCGACAGCAGCATCAGCAGACAGCTGCAGTCTCAGGACAGTTACCGTCAAAGTGAGAGCAGCAGCAGCAGCACTGCATCTTTCATCAACTTTCATCAGCAGCTTGAGAAAAGTCCCAAGATAAGACGATAATAAAGCAAAGTGATGAATGTTGAAGTACTTCAACTGCCTGCTAAGTGCTCAACTTTGGCCAGACCACCAGCAACGATGCAGTGGCCTGAAAGTCCGTGTAAGCGCAAATGAACGAACGAACTCTTCGCCTTCGCTTCATCGCTATTTGCATTGTCTTGCCACTCGCGGCTGCCACCTCTTCTGCCGCTCCAAACGAGTCGGCCTGAACAAGAACACAGGCATACGCACACTGGCTTGCACACATCCACTGCAGCCATAAACACCTGAACTGATGCACTGAGCTCTACTGGTGATGGCACTTGTCGAAGCTGGCAGGCTGGCAGTGGGCAAGTGACTGCCATTGCCCATTGCCATGATAATCTTGGTTGTCGGTTGTTTGGTAGCTCACATCTACGAGAAATATTTTCTTGTCAGAGCGGCCGGGGCACACTTGCGACAAGTCATAACTTGGCATTTGTCCGAAGAGTGCTTCGCTCTTCGATTGCCCATCCGATGCTGACGACGACAATGATGCCCTTCAAGTCACTGACCAGGTCGCTCTGAGCAGCCTGTCGGATGTGCTCCTCTGCGGCGGCTGATGTGCGGAGGTGCCGAGAACTGAGTGACCCTGTCGGAAGAAGGTGCCAATCAGCTAGTGGAGAGAAACTCGGCAATATGCTTTCCTATGACGAGCTTTAGTTGGTTTCTCCGGAGCATTACCATCAGCATCAGCAACAGCAGCAGCAGCAGCAGGAATAGTCGCCGTCATTTCCATTTCTAATTGCATTGATTAAACGGCTGCTTCAAACTTCTCCTCCACTGCTAATCTATTTGCCCACTGTTTTTGGCTATATTCTCTTTGCGTTTGTAGCTCCATCGTTCTTTTTCTCTCTTTATTATTTGCGCTTAATTGCAACTAAGTCCCAAATTCATTAAGCAAACAGAATGGAACTTTCCGAGCATCACTGAAGTCTCATTCAGTAGAGGAGAAGAAGCGGAGAACATAACGAAATGCAAGTCACATCGAGCAAGGCAAGTTAAATAAAGGAGACCTAGTCACTCGGTGGCTTTCGGGATGCTTCCAGCGCACTGGCTCACTTCTCATTTACGGCGTCGATTCGCCTAATTTGGAGCTTTACACATTTGACGCTAGCAGAGAGCAGTGTTTCAGCTCGGCAATTAAATGTTGGCGTCACCCAAACGGCGCTGATCGACGCAAGCACGTCTCTGGATCGGGTCTCTCTTCTCTTTCTGGTCTAATCACAACTTTTGCTAGCAATGCCTACTTAGGGCATGAAAAGTACCAAACGTTTGG